AAATGTGGGATTTTCACATTAAACTTTAGCCTGTATTGAATCTTTCCTTTGGATTTAACCTTATTTTTCACCCTACCTATCTCTAGAAGAAAGACCAGCTATTACACAATTACTTGAATTAAAGGTATCTTTTGAATCCAACCCCAAAAGAGGTCCAATTAATTCATTTCCCCTCACCTTGGTGGGATAGACAGAACTGGATGGAAAGGCCACCAGGGTGGTAAGATCAGAATAACGTCGCTCTAGGGTCTTCTTGGTAGCAGGACAGTAGTGGACACTACGAACAACTTTGGGACGAACTAGAGAACCTAGAGATGGAAAACATGCATATAAAGTCAACCAGTTACACAGTGATAGGGGTGGGCTCCAAATCCATGCAAGCCTATGATGACTCCTAATGCTGTGTTTTCCTGAATGGTTAAGCTATTTCAATACTATTTGTTGTTATTGTTTTATATATGTATATATAACACATCACCATGTCCGTGAAAAATTTTAAGTGCCAGCGATCCCGACCAAGAACTACAAGAATTCGTGGCTGAACTGAGAATGTCAAGAGCTAAGACTCCTCTAGTTCTCAGCAGAATTAATCAATTGTGCCAGCTCATGTCACCACTAAAAGTCCCCCTAATCACTGTGCACAAACTGAGCTCCTCCAAGTTTTACTACATAATTTCAATGCTCCACTTCTCTGAAATTAGAAGCTACCTTGCCTCTCCTGCTTTCCTGGCCTTCCTCAGTCTATGCCACCTCCATTCCTGGGTGCCTCCCTTTAGCCCACTCACATTTAGTGACGATGCCTTCCACACAGACTACACAGCTGAGGAAGCATGAAGTTAGAGTCCGGGGAGAAACATGCTTAGAGCCAAAGCTGCCCTCCAGTCCTATGTAGAATTCCTCATACTGCTTGGCATAGGTAGCATCAATAGAAGCCACAAAATCCTTTAAAGCCCGCTGGAAAGCAACCAGTTCCTCAAAGGCATTGCTTAGGAGGCTGAAAATGGGCAAGAGAAAAAATAATTAGGCAGAGCATGCAGAACTGGGGAGGGGGTGGGGGGGTAGGCTGACCCTCAAAACAGAAGTAAACATTCTTAAATAATTATGGTCAAGGAGAAAATTCAGCTCCTACTTTCTTCTTCCACCTTATGAAGATTTAGCAAGGATTCACTTTAATTCAAATTATCAGAGATTTTTAAATGTTATTCAGCTAATCATTGGAAGGAGGGACACTTGAAAAGAAAATGCTCACCACCTCCTTTTGAAAGTAAACAACATAGGTACAAGAGAAGCAATGAAGGTTTGTAGTCAATCCCATGTTACCCAGCCCTTTCCTAGGGAGCCTGTTACAATCTGGGCAAGAGAGATGGAGTCATTCTCACTCTGAGCCAGGAAATCCCCCCAGAAACCTCTGCCACTCACCGGTTAGCCCTCTTTTCATTTTTCCTGCGCAGGTCATTCACATTGACAATCAGCCGGTATTGGTTGTCACTGATTAGTTCCCGAACTTTGCTCTGATAGATTCCCTGATCTTCCTGCAGATTCAAATTCAAACGAACAGATTCAAAACTATATGTTTCTAAAAAGAAGCAGTTCTGGGCTGAGGTTGGGGCTCAGGGGTAAAGCGCTCACCTAGCACATGTGAGGCACTGGGTTTGATCCTCAGCACTACATAAAATTAAATAAAATAAAGGTATTGTGTCTATCTAGAACTAAAAATATTTAAAAAAAAAAAAAAGAAGCAGTTCTCCACAGCAAGAAGAAGAAGTAGTAGTAGTAGTTGTTGCTGCTGTTGTTCTCCACAGCAAGATAATAACTCAGTCTTTGCAGAGGAGCTGAATCCCAAGTACATGTTCATCAATTTCTCCTTTTCATTCACTAACACCAAACTAAAAGCTTGTTACCCTACTGGGGACACTATAAGAATATAATGGCATTAGAGCAGATTATGCTAAGTGAAGTTAGCCAATCCCTAAAAAACAAATGCCAAATGTCTTCTTTGATATAAAGAGAGTAACTAAGAACAGAGTAGGGTCGAAGAGCATGAGAAGAAGATTAACATTAAACAGGGATGAGAGGTGGGAGGGAAAGGGAGAGAGAAGGGAAAATGCATGGAAATGGAAGGAGACCCTCAGAGTTATACAAAAGTACATACAAGAGGAAGTGAGGGGAAGGGGAAAAATAATGTAAGGGGGACAAACGAATGTCAGTAGAGGGAGCAGAGAGAGAAGAGGGGAGGGGAGGGGAGGGGAGGGGAGGGGAGGGGGGATAGTAGAGGATAGGAAAGGCAGCAGAATACAACAGACACTAGTATGGCAATATGTAAATCAATGGATGTGTAACTGATGTGATTCTGCAATCTGTATATGGGGTAAAAATGGGAGCTCATAACCCACTTGAATCAAATTGTGAAATATGATATATCAAGAACTATGTAATGTTTTGAACAGCCAACAATAAAAAATTAAAAAAAAAAAAGAATAATAAAAAAAAAAAAAGCCAGGCATAATGGCAAACTATTCAGGAGGATGAGGCATGAAAATCCCAAATTCAAGGACAGCCTCAGTAACTTAGCAATGCCCTAAGCAACTAAGAGATCTTCTCGAAAAAAATAAAAAGGGCTGAGGACGTGCTCAGCATTTAAGTGCCCCTGTTTTCAATCCCCAGTACACAAAAAGTAATAATGGGGGCTGGGGATGTGGCTCAAGCGGTAGCACGCTGGCCTGGCATGTGTGCCGCCCGGGTTCGATCCTCAGCACCACATACAAACAAAGATGTTGTGTCCGCCGAGAACTAAAAAATAAATATTAAAAAAAATTCTCTCTCTCTCTCTCTTACTCTCTCTTAAAAAAAAAAATCAAAAACAAAAACAAAAAGTAATAATGACTTCCTTATTTCCATTCTCTTCTATATGCTGTCATTTCTTTGGGGGAATTAAAATAAGTTCATAGGAAATCTGAAAAGGACAGTATTAAAAGCCTTGCTAAAAAAATGGAAATTTAAGCTTGTTAGGTCCCTAGGCCAAAATAAACTACATTTTGAAAATCAGCATCTGCCCACCCAGGCATGACATTCCAGTTAGGCCCACCTTGAAAAAGTCCCTAACCACCCAAACCACAGTAACAATCACAGGACCAGGTGGGCTATTTTTTTTTAACTACTGCATTGTACATGACTATATACTTGAGAAATTTTCCAGCAAGCTGCTGCACCTTGCAGAAAGGCAGCCTGGTAGATATTCTCTGTCAATAAACCTTTGCTTGAACTCGGAGATGCATCTCTCTGTGCATATTTGTGCCAACTACCCTAACAATGCTAACTTGCTTGACCTGTAGTAAGCATTCCACTCCATGTATCAAAACACGTCGTACACCTTAAACACATACAATGAAAGTGTAAATTAAATGGACTCTTTAAAAATTTCTCATTTAAATTGCTTTTAATTTATCATCAAACTTTCAACGTGCTTTATCAACATTCAATAGCTTTAAATTAAGTTGCACACAAGAACCCCCTTTTTGCAATGTTTTGAATACAAGACACTTTTATCTGCATCTTATTTGGTATGGAAGAAAGCAGCCAAATTAGGAAGGCTTTTTTTTTTCCTTTACTACAATCTGAGCACCCTACCACTCGGCGGGCAGGTCACTACTGTCCTACAGCAGTCGCTCCCCATTTCCCTACCCCCACTCCCCATGAAGATCAAGCCTAATCCCTAAAAGACCGGGGCGGGCTTTGCCATTTTGTTTGCACTTGCTGGTAATCTGTTGCCTTTCGCGCTTGGGGCCGTCACTTGTAAGGCTTGTAGGGGCAAGTTACAGGATCACCAAGAGGGCACCTATAGAACACTCACTAGCGATTCCGGGAACCGCGAAAGAAGTTACAAGATCGCGATGAGAGGCTCTAGTGCCGATCCGCCAGCTCAGCCGCTGCACACAAGCTGCAGATGTGGACAACCTCTAGTTCCCCCGCACCGATGCTGCTCGGACTAGGAGCTGCAACCCACGAGGCCTCCCTGTGGAAGCAAGGGCACCAAGCGCCGAAGCCGGATCCCGGCGACCCCCTCACCTCGTCATCCAAGAAGTCCAGGTAATCTCGCTGAGCCTCCCGGAGCTCCACATCGTCCAGGACCACGGTCCCTGCCATGCCTGCTGCCTCGGAACTGCCTCTTACTAAGCCGCGAGGAGACCCCCACGGATGAGCTCCACTCCGACGCAAAAACTTCCGAACTTTTCCCGCCACAAAGCCTTCCTGGAGGAAAAGGCGGGACTCAAGGAGTAGATACACTTTATGATTGGCTGTCCCTCCAACGCCAAATTGCTAGCATCCAATCGAGACGCTGTTTTTCCGGGGTTTCCGCCTGGCGTCTTGAGGTGGCGGGAAATATGCCTTCCGGGGTCCTGCGTTGCTCCCCTCCCCACTCCGCCCCTTCGGACAGGAAGGCTGACGAATGGGGTAGAGAAGAAGTGAGCGGACCCTGCTCATTGGGCCGCTGCAAGGAAGAGCTCTAAGAGACGGGGAAAGCGCTGCGTTCTGGGAGTTGTAGTCCTCTCCTTTTTCCGGCTCTTAGTACAGAGGTTTTCTCTTTTTTTCAAGCTGCAATTTGGCTTGCAGCAGTGTCCAACTTAATCCGGCAGTGGGACTTTTCTTAAAAGCAAACTAAACAAAAGAGAATGGAGGTTTATAACGCAGGGAGATGAAAACATAAAAGTAAATGGTTTTTAGAATGTATCCAAATCATAACTGCCCTCAAGGGCATGGCTTGGGGAGTTGATTTTGAGAATCTTTGGGATGGAAACTAGAATCAGCATCTTAAGGAAAAGTTTATTTAATGCAGGACCCATTTGCTATCTGAATAGCGTTGCTTGAAGTATCTTATAAAAATAGCAGGGCACGAAGATTGTGAAGATACACCTGCAAAAAATAGAGACCTCCTTGTGTATTCTTATACAGAATTCTGAACAGAATTACCACGCTATCTTACTTGCAAACCGGTAAGTTAAAGGCTTTCTCACCTTATAAAAAGATCACTGGATCCTTTTAAATAACTGTTGTGAGCGAGCTATGGTGATAACAGACCAAACACTAGTGTGTTTTTCCACATGTCAGAATTTTTGAATAACAATAAATTCCAGGTTATACCACTTTCATCGGTGGCAGTTCATCGAATACTTGTAGGTCACCTTATAGTCATAATCCAGGCAATCCCAAATTCTTTTATTCCAATCTTAAAAGGTTAAGAAAGGGTTAAGGCAACCACAGGGGTTGGGGAGGCTGAAGTGAGAGCAAAGGCGGAGAGCAGATAAAAATGCAGTCGTTGTAGGCGTTCAGATAAGATTAGAACCAGCCAAAGAACTTGTTCAGGGTCGCAGAACTGTCAAGGGGCAGGAACTTATCGGCCAAGGTCTGGACAGAAGGCAGTCTCAGAATGTCAGCTTGGAATGGGGTGTGTGGTCTCTGCTGAAGCCGAGGACAGAGAAGATACTCACTGTGGCAATTTTCCTGGGCAAGACTCATGAGGAGTGACCAGGTGATGGGGTCAGGGATTCACTGTAGCGGGGCTCAGGTTGCTCTTCCTTTTCTGGGCCTGCGTGAGGAGGTTGCTTTATTTGATGGTTTGGTGTGTTCCATAAGCTCATGAGTCTGAAGTTTTAGATTTGAGTTTGATAAACCAGTGCATCCATGTGCTTCCGATTAATTTTATAAGTTCACAGATGTTCATTTTTTTAGCACAATTAATTTGTTTGACAGTTTGGCTTTGGGTTGTGCTTGGCAGAGGGTGGTTGTTTACTTTGTATAAACAAGATATAGAGTCATTCCACCTCAGCACTTAAAATGGAGTAGCTCATAGCACATTGCTTTATAAAGTAGAGTAACTTAGGCATAGTCTGAGAACTACTGTTCTATATACATCATAGAGTAACTCAGAGCAGGATACCATCCTGCTCTCCACAGAAACTTACTTTACCAAAAATTGAACACCAGGGGGAAAAGGTGTTTCATGATACCATTGATTAAATATCAATTAGTAATTAAGATACTGTACAACAAGTCTGAAATTACAATTTTTAAAATATCAATTGCATATCCAAGTTTTTTGTTCATTTTAGTTATTTGAGTATTTTTTTGTATTTTTTAATTTTATTTTTGTGGTACAATTTGTATGCTGTAAAATGCCCATGTCTTAAGTGTTTATAGCTCAATTAATTTTTACCTAAGTACATCCCCATGTAATCACTCAGTACACAATAAAGAACCTACCCATTGCCCCAGCATATATTTTTAATTTTACTGAACAGTAAGGTAAAAGACCAGATTGTTTAATAAAAAAATATTTGGTAACTCTGTAGCTGAAATTTCCATCAACTGATTATTAACTTATGTTTGAAGGAGTCCAGGACTATGCGCTGATAAATATCTTAAATATAATCTGCCTAAGCAAAATGTACATGCCATTTATTTGTATGTGTATATGTATTTCTAATTATCATTATTCAATTTATAGTTACTACATGTTTTGTGCCATTGTGGTAGGCAGATAAATTGATCCTTAGTCAAAGAAAAAAGGATGTCTCTTGACTGCTTGTTTTTGTATACAATATTGTACAATAAAAGACAAATTAAAAGAAAAAAATTTAGAACAAGGATCCTGTTTGCAATTATTTACTGAGATAATTACTTATTAACCTAAGAATATTTTTATCACTTGATCCTAACTCTCATTTTATGAATATATTGGATGCAATACTGATAATAATCTCTGCTCTAGAAACAACTTGAAATTAACACTAGAACCAGGAAACCTAGTTCAAATTAGCACAGGAATTAAGTCATTTGCAGTGAAAAGTCCAAAGGAGTGACAGTTTGGTAACCACATCTTTGATTCTAACATACTTTTTTTCCCCGTAGGCTTCAGTTTCTTCATACAGAAGATGAGGAAATTAAATTAGAAAATCTCTAGTATATCAGTTCCACTCTAACATTTTCATTAAGTCTATGGCTTAATGTGTAAAGACAAATTCCATTTAATGAATTATGCCATGGTCCTTGATAAAAACTTGATCATCTTCAACCATGAAGGACACATAGATATTTTAATTGGTATTTCTCCCTGTTTTCATGATGATATGAAATCATTAATCAGAGAAATTATGTTTCCTTGATTATCTCCCACTCTTTCAAACTGCCCAGAGAAAACCATTGGATTGTTCTTAAAAATTAGGGACATTTGTACATATTTCATTTAAAGTCCACGTAAGCTTAACCAGTATCCCTCCCCCTCTACTCCTGACTTAAAATGAAGAAGCACACATTATTTAATGAAGTAATGTATCTATGGTTTCTATATTTGCTCAAATTCTTGCTTTCTTCCTTGTTTTCTTTCTACCTTAGAGCTTGATGGACTTATCTTAATTACCAAGGCTGAATAAACACTAGGGGGCTCCCTGGAGTGCAGAATGTGCAAGAAAACTGCGGAATACAGATTACAAATTATGTATAATACTTCCATTTTTCCTTGTCCTCAGGGACCAAAAAGTACTCAATGTCACAATAAAAAAACATAATAAACATTACTAATATTTCCTAAATGACATATGTGCATATGTGTATTTGTGTGTGTGTCTCTGTGTATGTATATATATATATATATATATATATATATATATATATATATATATATTTTTTTTTTTCCCTAAACCAGTGAGCAACTTTTTATGTTGAAAAATATCTTAAACAATACCCTATAGTTAATAACTTGTTTTAGGCCCTCAGGAAATTCATTATCAGTTCTTCAACACAAGTTTATAAGCCACAAAAGCATAGAGGTTAGAAAAATCTGTTTCCAGGTGCTAGAGAAGCTTAAGGAATAATCTGAAGGTGCAGGCTTGTCCCAGCCAAGTAGATTTGTTCTCTTCTATGGTATGGACTGGTAAGAAACTTCTCCAGGTGTCATAGGTAGGGTTTCAAGCACCAAGACAGAGGTAAAGTTAGTCACTTCCTGGCTTCTCAGCTGGCAGTTTACTTAACCACTCTCTACTTCAGTTCCTTCTTCCAAATTAGGCTGTATGTAATATGTAGCTCAAAGAATGATTCATTGTAGTGATAAGGGATATAAAATATTGAGAAAAATGCCCGGTATGTAGTAAGCATTAATGTTAGCCAACAGTACTGGTGATGGTATTGGTGGTTGAAGAGGGGTCAAGAGATGGGGAGAGAATGGTGCCACAGCACCCTGATGCATTCTGGAACAATTCAGACAACCAAATTCAAGCTCCCTTCCCACTCCTACCAAAATCTTCCAATAGAATCAATCACTTCCTAAATAAGACCTTGTCTACTGGAAATCCAGTTGGCTAAATGAGTAACACAGAGACAGGGTATTATTTGACTCCAATTCTACCAGTGTTGAAAGCCATCAGGCACATTTGTCCCATGTTTAAGGAATATTATGAAATATCAAATGGTCCCTGGAATCAATCAGTGTGTCTTCTGAAAGAGTCTGCTGGCCTGTCTTTTATCTCTCATATTCCCCCGTCTTTTATTCCTGTAGTCCTTCAGGTTAGAAATATTAAAAGAGCAGGAAGGTCTAGGATCCAGGGAGCATCATAATCCTGATTTTACCATTGAATTTGACAACACAGTTGGCCTGCCAACAATTTGTGATTCATGGTCATTTGCCAAGGTTAATTTCAGCAGTCTGATTTCTTAATCCCTGAGAAGTCATCTCCGTTCTTCATGACACAAATCTTTACTGAGAATCTGTTTGAAGAGCTTTGCCTCAATGCTTAGAGGCACAGATTGCAGAAGGTAATTAATTGTCAAAAACTAATTGATTGAATATAAAATGGCATGTGAGATTCCCTAATAATAACTCCATTTGATAAATGTGCCTGGATTTGTTATAATTGTGCATTTTATTTATTTATTTACTGGTATTACAGATTGAACCCAAGGGAACTCTACCACTAAACTACATCTCCCGTCCTTTTTATTTTTTATATTGTGAAGGGTCTTGCTAAATTGCCAAGACTGGCTTCAAATTTGCAATCCTCCTATCTCAGCTTCCTGAATCTCTGGAATTAAAGGAATGTGCCACTGCTGAGGCTCTAAGTGGGTATTTTAAAAGACATAGTCTGTTAATATTACAAAACAATGAAGATACTTAATTATATCAACAAAACAAATATTATCTGAACATGTGTTTATCTAATTCTGTCCTGGACAGAAGATTTCAGAGCAATGTTGCTGAACAGAAAAAGAATGCATTATACATTTTAAGTTTTCGAGCAGTACTTAAATAAAAGGTTTTTTATTTTAAAAAGTAAAACGAAACTGGTGAAATTAATTCAATGATATCTTTAATTTAACCCAATATAGCTAAAATATTACCATTTCAAACTGTAATCAATATAAAATGCTTTAATGAGATATATTACTTTTTGTCTTGACTTTAAAATCCAGTTTTAAAAATCTCAATTCAAACTAGCCACATTTGCCTACTGGCTTCCACATTGGACCAAACAGCTTTAGAGGATAAAATCTATCTCTTGAAAGATAAGAGCTTGAAATAAGAGCAGCCATTCATTGAGCATGCACTATGTACTAGACACTGTGCTAAGCACTTTATCATATAATCTTATTGAATTTTAACCACACCTTGGAAGATTGTTATTTTTAATCCTCATTTTACGTTGAAAAGATTGAAGCCTAAAAGATCCCAGATTTCCTCACCAATAAGGGATAGAGGCAGGGATAGGATGTGAGTCTATGTGGCTATATCAAATACTATTTAAGACCAAATGAGTATGTTCAGATCCAAATGCAGAATTTGGCTCATAAGATTCAGTTCTAGTTACTTAAATATTAAGTAAACAAATATTTTATATCTTAAAATACCTTAATTAATAAAAAACATGTTATAGATCTGGTATAAAATATCATTTGCAGTGATAAATAGTAGGTAAAATTTACCCTGAAGTAATAAGGAAAGGTTAAAAAAATCAGCCCTCCATATTCATAGGCTCTGTGTCTGTGTATTCAACTTATCCCAGATTAGAAAAAATATTACGTATTGTATCTATGCTATATGAACTCTTTCTTGTCATTATTCCCTAAACAAAATATAGCATTTACATTTACATGACATAGTATTTACATAGCATTATTTGGGCATTATAAATAGTCTACAGATTAATTTAAAGTATGCACAGGCTCTATGCCATTATATATATATATATATATATATATATATATATATATATATATATATATATATATAACTTAAGCTTCCAAAGGTGTGGGTGTATGCAGCTGGAACCAATCCTCCTTGGATACTGAGGGATCAAAAAGTGGGCAGTGTTGCCTCTGGAGAGATGCAGTAATAACATTCTTTGTAGTCATAGCAAAACACTTGAGAGATACCAAAAACCATAGAATGAAGGGCTGGGGGAAAAGGTAGGGTAGGATTGGAAGCAATCAGGTACATCAGATCTGACTCTACAGGACACTGACCAACAGAGTAGGTAGACTGTGCTTGACATAGTGGGCAAAAGGGAGCCAGGGTTGACTTTGGAGCAAAGGATAGACGGTATCAAAGTTGTACTTCAGGAAGAGGGATCTGGCCAAAGCATGTGTAGAATGGATTATTTTAATCACATAAAAAGAAACAAGGCCAGAAAGGGGTGTTCAAAGAGAACTCAGGGAAAAAAAATGAGGGTGACACATTTAAGGTGGAAAACTGCCAAAATTGAAAGCTATGTATTTGGATAGAAGAAGGAATGAAGGAAAGGGTAGGGTAAAAATTAGACACACTGCCTCCAGGGCTTACAGAAAGCATACAGAGTTTAATGGTCTTTACTTAGATCTTTATTTAGAATGAAAAATTGTTTTGCAGTTAAGACAAAAAGGAAAAGAAATTGAAAGACAACCAAATCTCCCAAAACAGCAGCAGTAAAGAGAGGAATACAACCTTGACATTTAGTCTCAAAACTTTGTCTAGGACATTTTTGGAAAGGAAAGAAAATTATATTTTGTTGAACAAAATACAAATAAATTAGACTTAAAAAGGCAAAATATATGTAAATCATACCAAAATCAGGTTTATGCTAAAACTCTAAGCAAAAATAGTAAATCAACTCATAAAACTTAAAAAAAAAAAAAGACTCATGATTGCAGCTAGAGAGATACAGGGTGGAGAGCCAGTGCCACTTCAAAGTAAGTTGAATATTAATTTTAATTAGATCCATACCATTTGCCTGAGAATTTACAGTTCCTGTCCTCCACATTCACAATCAGCTTTATAGAAGCCAGAGTTTAAGATGAATGAATCTTGCTACATCCTCTACTCTGAACATTTGACAAAATAGGAGTAGAAAAATATGTGCAAAGTACTGCACTTCCCCCTCCCCACTAGAGTGCCTACCCAGAGTTCTCCTCCAGCATCTTATTACATTCTTCCAACCCGGTTGTGGGAATCTTAAGATAAAAAGCAATACAAGCCTTCATTATATTTCCAATCCTCCAATATTTTGTTAATTTTAGAGAAGGTAGAAAAACCATTGGCATTCTAATATTTTATGGGACATAAGGATCCAAACAAAGATCTCTGTCTGAGAAGCTGATAGGTTTCATATTCACCACTTTCCTAGTTTTTCGATAGATTCTTTGATGAGCCTCCAAAAAATGTCTCTGATCTGAAACCAAACCTGATGGAAAATTTTCCTGGCCTGTGTCCATCTGGTTAGCCACCTGTTTCTCCCTATAGCTAATTCAGCAAGGGGATCTGATAAAGCCAGAGGTATTGGCTCACAGCCTTAAAGGTCTGGATAAGATAGCTTTTAAAATAATCATTCTTTACACACTGTCATACACCAATGACATCCTCATTACTTAGAAATACAAAGTACAAATGTCTATTAAAAAATCCATGAATATCATGCTACATACTAGAATTTCAGAGCTAGAAATCACCCTACTAACCATTTAGTCTAAAGCCTCATTTCATAATTTAGACAACTGAGATTCAGAAAAATTTGGATATAGTCTAAGTTCAACATTATTTAAAACAAAAAGGCTTTGTGTGTGTGTGTGTGTGTATTGGGCATTGAACTCAGGGGCAATCAACCACTGAGCCACATCCCCAGCCCTGTTTTGGGTTTTATTAGAGACAGGGTCTCACAAGTTGCTTAGCACCTCCATTTTGCTGAGGCTGACTTTGAACTCACTAGCCTCCTGCTTCAGCCTCCCCAGCTGCTAGATTACAGATGTGCACCACCGTGCCTGGCAAAGAGGTTTTTTTTTTTTTTTTTAAGGTGGAGAAATAATAAAGAACAAGACTCTGAAAGAGATGTAGATTTGAGCAAATCAAACTTTTAGAACTAAGAAATATAGTTATTGAAATAATAAATTAATAACCTAGTTAAAAGCAGAGTAGATGCTTTTAATGATCGTTAACAAGAAAATAGAAACTAGATGGAAATAACTAGCAATGTCTAATAGTTATTCCTTCAGTGATGAATAAGTTCTAATATCTGCTCTGTCCAATATGGTAGCCAGAAGCACATGTGGCTATTAAGCATATGAAATGTGGCTG